AGAGCAAGGCCCTATCTCAAAAAAAAAAAAAAAAAGGCTGGTGCTGTAGTTCATGCCTATAACACCACCACTTTGGGGGATCGAGGCGGGCAGATCACTTGAGGTCAGGAGTTCAAGACTATCCTGGCCAACATGGTGAAACTCTGTCTCCACTAAAAATACAAAAAAAAAAAATTAGCCGGGCATGGTGGCAGGCGCCTGCAGTCCCAGCATGAGAACCCAGGAGGCAGAGGTTGAAGTGAGCTGAAATCGCGCCACTGCACTCCAGCCTGGGAAAGAGAGTGAAACCCTTGTCTCTACAAAAAATAAAAAAACCATATTTTGAGGAACTGATGCAGTGGCTTACGCCTGTAATTCCAGCACTTTGGGAGCCTAAGGCAGGTGGATCACTTGAGGTCAGGAGTTTGAGACCAGCTTGGCCAACACGGTGAAACCCCGACTCTACTAAAAAATACAAAAATTATTTTGTATTTTTAGTGGCTCACACCTGTAGTCTCAGCTACTTGGGAGGCTGAGGCAGGAGAATTGCTCCGGGAGGCGGAGGCTGAAGTGAGCCAAGGTCGTGCTACTGCACTCCGGCCTGGGCGACAGAGTGAAACTCCATCTTGCGGTTAAAAAAAAAAAAAAAGATCCTTGTTCCATCTCCCAGGGAGGCAACTTCCACTTCAAAGCCTGTTTGATTACAAAGTTTGCAACACGTTGTGCTGGTGATCTGATCTGCAGAAATCCTGCTGCAGGAACCAGAATTTGCCTACTGAAGCTGGAAACCTCATCAGTCATCATCACACGTGTGTGAGCGGGTCCATCGCTGATTCCGACGATTTCCTTGCAGGCTTACTTACTCCTCCAGCAGGTTCAAATGCGAAACAGGGACCGGCCCTCTCCGGCGGCCTTCCCGGGCCTGTCCTTGCTAAGGTGCCTCTCCTAGGACAAGGACAGCCCCAGATGTCTTCAGCTCCTGCCCCTCTGAGGCTGTGCCTACCTGGGAAGGAACGAGCTGGCAGAGGGCAGGATCGGGGGGCACCAGGGTGCCCAAGAATTGGGAGAGACTGAGGAACCCAGGGTCCCCACGGAGAGGAGCAGATGAGCCAACCACAGGGGTCCTGGACCTGTCACAAGCTTTATTGTCCCGAGCACAGACTCGCCACACTTCAACAATTCCACTGTGGGGAGGGGAGGGGCGTGGGACGGACCTGGGCAAGGGACATGGGACATGGCTGAGCCCCGCCCCTGGGCGGCCACACCGGGTGGGTGGAGAGGCCCTTGGAGGAAGAGGCTCCAAGGGAAACCCACCACCAGGAGCCCCAGCTCCTCCCGGTGCCCTGCTGGGTGGATCTCTGGCTGTTAGTGGACTAATCGGTGCCCCCACAGATTAGTGGGGCAGAGCTGCCTGACTTGGCTGGAAAGAGCTGTATTTGACCCTGGGTTAGGCCACTAAAGCATCACTTCTAGACAGCTGTTAGAACTGCATGCGAGCTACCGAAAGCCGACGGGGACTGGCAGGGGGCCCAGAGGACTGACTCCGACTCCCACTTGGGCTGCACGTGCGCAGGAGCGTGAGTGCCACCTACCTGTACCAGGCGGGGCTCACAAGGGCGGCCTGGGCCGTTCCTATGAATTGCACACGCGTCCTCTGCGTTAAGGGAAAGCTGGGATGGGGCACTGGGCTTCTCCCTCTGGTCCCCTGGTGGAGGAGGCCTCATAGGAAAACACTCCCTGAGCTGCCAGAGGGTGGGGCAGGACCCCCTGTGCTGATGCCGGGTGGCCGGGGGGCAAAGCTGTAAGCAACCCGACTGTTCCCCAGCGGAGAGGAGGCTGCAGGGCCAAGGCTGGCTTCTTCCAGCACGCACAGGCCCGGGATAACTTAGCAGGCTTGAGGGTAAGACAGGTAGGGGTGGGGGGCATGGGACAGTTAGATTTGTCTTCCCCCCCGCCCCCTCGAGGAGATGGGGCTGGAGGCGTGCTGTGCAGGTGACTGGTGAGACCAGGAAGGGCTGCTCTGTGTGGCACACACACCCCTGAACACCCGGCTGCATGTACCTGGTGTGGGCACACCTCTCAGCTGTGGGAATGTCTGCAGTGTCTGTGGGTACTGTCCTGCCAGGCCTGGGTCTCAGTCCCAGAAGCCAATATGTGTCTCTGTGTGGCCTGGGTGTGGTTCACGGCACCACCCACACGATCGTGGGCACACGTGGTCCCTCTGAGTGTGTGTGTGAATGTGGTGTGTACATAAGGGCCCGCTCATATGCATTTGCAGGTGGATACAGATGATTTGGAAGATCTGCTCAGCCCCAGGGGACACCGTATTACTGACCTTTGTCAAACCTGCCTGGAGCGTCCACCCCGGGCTCCCCCTGCCCCGGGCTCCGAGCCAGGGTTTGCTCAAGGTCACGGTGGGAGGTGAGGAGAGGGACTTCCAAACCTTCATAATACTGTGGCTCTGGCCTTGGTGACATCCTCGGCCAGCAGCTTAGAGGTGTGTGTGTGTGTTGGTGTTGATGGGCGGGGGGAGGAGGATCCTGTCCCCCACCTGCCAACACCTTGAACCTGGGGGCTCGCTGGGCAGGCAGGCTGGCTGAGGGGAACCTGTACCACTGTTTGAAGAAGGTTCAGAAGGTGGGGACAAGAAGCCCTGGGGACTGCCTTGGCCTGGAAGTGGCTTCAGAAAAGGGGCTCCCATTTGACTCAAAGACTGGACTTTCCTCCTTGGTGCCTGCATGGACAAACTGAGCCCCCCTCCCGCACCCCGGGGAGACCCGAGGGAGAACAGGCAGAAAAAGAGCACAGGGGTGCTAAGATGGTCATCAGGGCAGCTCCTTCTGGGCCTGGCTGGATCCCTCTGCCTTCACCGACAAACTCCGGAAGCTGCCGGGCATCCGGGCCGAAGGTCCCCGGGTCGGGCCAGAGCTGTACTGCTCTCACTCTCTGCGGAAGGCCGGGCTTGAGGAAGCTTCCTGGTCTGGCAGGGGATCGGGGTGGGGGATTGTCCACGGCGGTGAGTACGTTATTGTTTCAAACACTGTTTTGTCTCCAAAGTGAGAGTCCCGGCTCCTGCCTGGAGGAGGTGCCACTGGGCAGCTTCAGGGGGCTCTGTTGTGGACTGGGCCGCTCCACGGAATCCCGTTGGGGTCAGTGCTTGTCCTAGAGAGAGAGAGAGGACATGGTCAGCAAGGGTCTCTGGGAGCCTGGAGGGACAGGCAGCCAGAGGGGGGTCAGGGAGGAAAGGAGGTGGGGCTGGGGTGGGGGAGGAGGGAACAGCAGCATACAGAGAACAGCATGTGCCAAGGCCCTGAGGCAGGAAGAGCCTCCCCGCTGTGCATCTGGGGCTGAGAAAGAAGGTGGCAGGTGGGAGGTGCTGATGGGAAGCTGAGAGGAAGAAGCAGTTTTACAAAGAGCCCTGAGTTCCTGTGCAGGGCTGGCGCAGAGGACATTACACTGGGGACTCCAAGCCTCAGTTTCACATCTCTCTTTTTTTTGGGAGACAAAGTCTCACTCTGTTGCCCAGGCTGCAGTGTAGTGGGGCGATCTCGGCTCACTGCAACCTCTGCCTCCCGGGTTCAAGCAATTCTCCTGCCTCAGCTTCCCATGTAGCTGGGACTACAGGTGTGCACCACCATACCCGGCATCTCTAAATATTTTTTTTTTGGTAGAGAGAGGGTCTCGTTATGTTACCCAGGCTGGTCTCAAACTCCTGGGCTCAAGTGATCCCCCACCTCAGCCTCCCAAAGTGCTGGGGTTACAGATTCCCTTCTTAGAAAAGTTACAACATATAACTTTTTTAAGAAGAGAAGGAAAAGCCAGGCATGATGGCTCACGCCTGTAATCCCAGCACTTTGGGAGGCCGAGGTGGGTGGACCACCTGAGGTCAGGAGTTCGAGACCAGCCTGGCCAACATGATGAAACCCCAACTCTACTAAAAATACAAAAGTAGCCGGGCATGGTGGCATGACCTGCAATCCCAGCTACTCGGGAGGCTGAGGCAGGAGAATCACTTGAACCCGGGAGGTGGAGGTTGCAGTGAACCGAGATCGCACCACTGCACTCCAGCCTGGGCAACAAAAGCGAAACTCCATCATCTCAAAGAAAAAAAAATAAAGAAGGGAAGAAAACACAAATCAAAAGAGTCGGGTGAATCTGCCATCACGTTTGCTGCAACCACGCCCTCCCTAAGTGGCCCTATTGTAAAGCGTCTTGCAGAATGCATCTTTGCCTGTTTTTTTGGTGACGTTTCAGGGATTTTCTCTAGAGAGGCCTGCGGCCCGGGAGGGATGTGAGAGGGCCGGGGCGCGCCTCACCTCTTGCTTCTGAGCTTTGTCCGGCTGGTGGATGCCGTTTGCAGAACCGGAATTGCCGATGGTCTGGAAGAGTCGGGGAAGACGCTGGAGCGGGGGGCACCAGGCAGCAGTTCCCGGTTTGCCCACTAGATGGCGGGGTCTTCCCATGGGATCTTCTCCAGCTCCAAATTTCAACCCCTTCAGCCTGGGGCTCCCAGCACCCCAAATCCCAAGCTTCTTGGGGCAAGGCTGCATCTCCTTCTTAGTCTAAGCTCCTCAGGGCAAAGCCATGTATCCCTTGAAACAGGGCTCCCAGAGGGCAGGGCTGTCTCCCCTTTCAGACTGGGGTTCCCAGGACAGAGCTGCCTCCCCCTTCAGACTGGGGTTCCCAGGACAGAGCTGCCTCCCCCTTCAGACTGGGGCTCCCAGGACAGAGCTGCCTCCCCCTTCAGATTGGGGCTCCCAGGACAGAGCTGCCTCCCCCTTCAGACTGGGGCTCCCGAGACAGAGCTGCCTCCCTCTTCAGACTGGGGTTCCCGAGACAGAGCTGCCTCCCTCTTCAGACTGGGGCTCCCGAGACAGAGCTGCCTCCCCCTTCAGACTGGGGCTCCCGAGACAGAGCTGCCTCACCCTTCAGACTGGGGCTCCCGAGACAGAGCTGCCTCCCCCTTCAGACTGGGGCTCCCGAGACAGAGCTGCCTCCCTCTTCAGACTGGGGTTCCCGAGACACAGCTGCCTCCTCCTTCAGACCGGGGCTCCGAGGACGCTGCCCCGTGGCTCGTCTCCTGGTGGGCCCTGCCGGCCGCGGCTCACCTGGGCCTTGTCCGGGCAGCTCCTCATGGCCTCCATCAGCTTCTCCACCTGCTGAGCCTGGTCCAGCGCGTCCCGCAGGGCATCCTCCGTGCTCATCAGCTGGTGCTGCAGCCGCAGGAGCTCGGGCGTGGAGGACGGGTCGATGAGGGAGTAGCGCCTCTGATCCGACAGGGACTTCTCCTTGTCCTGGAAGTGGCAGGAGAAGGGAAGAGTTCATCAGTGTGTGTGTGCATGCATGCACCTGCACATACATGAGCGCGCACGTGCGTGTGTGTGTGTGAGCGTCTGTGTGTGTTGGTGGGGTCTCGCCTCAGGCAGGAAAGTCTCCCAGCCTCACTTTGTCTCTGGATTCCAAGCCTGGGCATCACCCAGAGGTTCCTCAGGCCTCTGTGAGGTGATTCATGTTCTCCAAATCAGAAACCCAGGACCTCCTCCCTCTTCCCTTTTATTTTTTAAAAAGAGACAGAGGCCAGGCGTGGTGCAGAACTCTGGGAGGTCAAGGCGGGTGGATTATCTGAGGTCAGGAGTTCGAGACCAGCCTGGCCAACGTGGTGAAACCCCATCTCTACTAAAAATACAAAAATTAGCTGAGTGTGGTGGCAGGCACCTGTAATCCCAGCTACTCAGGAGGCTGAGGCACGAGAATTGCTTGAATCCAGGAGGCGGAGGTTGCAGTGAGCCGAGATTGCACCACTGCACTCCAGCCTGGTGACAGAGTGAGACTCAGTCTCAAAAAAAGAAAAAAAGGGAGAGAGAGCCTGAGTCTCACTCTACAGTGCAGGCTGGAGTGCAGTGGTGTAATCACAGCTCATTACAGCCTCCAATTCCTGGGCTCAAGCAATCCTCCTGCCTCAGCCTCCTGAGCAGCTGAGACTACAGAGCATGCCACCATACTTGGCTAATTTTTAAATTTTTTTGTAGAGATGGGGTCTTGTTATGAGGTCCAGGCTGGTCTCGAACTCCTGACCTCAAGCCATCCTCCTGACTTGGCTTCCCAAAGGGGTGGGATTATAGGTGCGCGCCATCGTGCCTGGGACCCTTCTTTCCTTCTTACTCCGCCCCCCACCCAACTGCCTTACGAGGTGCCTCCTCTCCACAGTCGCCCCGACCGTGGCACCCAGAGCTGTACCTGCCCCACGGCCCGCCAGCCCCGTCGCTCCTGCACAAACCATCCTTCAGCACTGCCAGTCCTGCCTGCTCTCACCCTCCAAACCTCCTCTCAACAGAGCCTCCCTCCCAAAATCAAGAGGCTTCTACCCAGCCACCAAGCCCTTCCCAAGTTCTCCCGTGGACACGGTGCAGGGAGATGATGAGGCGAGAGGCTGGCTACCCGGGAGGCAGAGGCCGCCAGTTCCAGCCTGGGCAACAGAGCAAGACCCCGTTTCAAAAAGGAGGAGAAAGGAAGGGAGGGAGGGAGGGAACTCAACCAACCTGTGCCCATGGGCACGAGTCTGACCTCAGCACTGCCCACTCCTACAAGGCTCTGGGGAAGCCCCTGGGGGGACTCAAGAGTCCCCAGTCTGTGTCAACCCCAGGGGTTTATCTTCTGTTGAGCCATGAGGACCACAGAGGGCGCAGGCACCAAACCCTTGCTGGCCAGACAGGCCGGGACTTGGAGACCAGCAGGACTCAGTGACCACCCACAGCTCGTCTGGGTGTGCGGCCAGAGTGATACCCTTTATCCCTGAACCCTAAGTGCCAAGGGCCTGCTCCCGGGTATGGGGGGACGGGGCTGAGGTCCTCCCTCCAGCCTATGAACCTCCCCAGTGCTGGGCCCTGCTCTCCTTCCTTCGCCTCTGCATTAGCTGAGCCCAGGGGCTGGGCAGGAGGGTGGGGGGGCTTCAGGGCAGCTTTCCCAGACTCAGCCCTGTCCTCCTGGACCCCACGTCCTGCCTATCGTGACACTGACCAGGCACAGGCTTGTCCTGAGCCCTGAATGCTGATCACAGGAGGACAGGATGGGAATGGAGATGGTTTTTTTCCTTTTTTCCTGTCATCCAGGCTGCACTGCAGTGGCGGGATCTCAGCTCACTGCAACCTCTGCCTCTGGGGCTCAAGTGATTCTCCTGCCTCCGCCTCCCGAGTAGCTGGGATTACAGGTGCGCACCACCATGCCCAGCTAATTTTTGTATTTTTAGAAGAAATGGAGTTTCACCACGTTGGCCAGGCTGGTCTCGAGCTCCAGATCTCAGGTGATCCACCTGCCTCGGCCTCCCCAAGCGTTGGGATCACAGGTGTGAGCCATGGCGCCTGGCCAAGGGATGGGGATGGTCCTGTCCTCTGCTACCAGCATACCTGCCTACCTCAACCCTTCTCTGGGGACTCAGTGAAATCAGGTTCCTATTCATAACAGAAAAGAAATCTCAGCCTCCCAGAGTTCCAGGCCTGCTGTAGGCTTTCAAGTTCTCGTCTCCTTCCTGAGACTGATGTGTGAAGCCCCGCTGCAGGAGCCTGAGCAAGGAACCACTGTCTTGTGGTTGATTACTCCTCTGCACAGGGAGCTCATCACCTGTATTGGCTCATCCTGCCTCTGGACAGGTCACACAGGAAGTTTTCCTTTGCACCGTATCACATGGACTGCCATGTAGGCAGCCACTATGTCTGCAGGAGGGGCTAGCCGAGGTCCCTCCACCTGCCTGTGGTCCTAGAAGATTTCAAATCCTCACCGTGACTCGGTGGTCCCTGGGGTCATTCCAGGAGGTCTCCAGTCTCCACGGCCTGACAGCCAGGCTATCCCAGCCCCACGAAGACCACCCTGCCCCTAGGCCACCCCTACCGCACATACCAGCCCGGTCAGCTTTTCACGCAGGCCCCGGATGTCGTCCTTGAGCTTCTGCTCCTTGAGGCGCCATTCAGCCTTGTGCACCTCGCGGCTCAGGTCCCTCTCGGGCCCCGGGGAGTGGCGACTGGCTTCCAGCAGCAACACCCGCAGTTCGTTCAGGCTCCTGGGGGTGGGGCGGGCACAGAACCACTGCACTCAGCCCCCCAGCTCCCACACTCTAGCAATTTGCCAAGTGCCCAGGGACTGACCAGCTGGTGGGGGGCACGGGCCACTAGATGGCGTCCGTGCCACAAGGGGCCACAGTGAACACAATTCAACCAAAGCCCAGGAGAGGCCAGGACTCAGGGTTGGGATAGTCCTGAGGACCTGACCTTTCCTAGAATGCTTTTTAAAGTTTTTCTGGGGGGAGTGCCAGACACAGTGGCTCATTCCTGTAACCCCAGCACTTTGGGAGGCCGAGGCGGGTGGATCA